AGCAGCCCATTAAGAACAGCACTAGTTGCACTAGGAGTCTGTCTGCCTGGAGATCTGCCCTGAAGATCTTACAGTTCAGTGCAAAGAATAACAACATCACTACAAACACCGAGCGTTGTAAAGGCTAAGACACATTTTCTTCCTACAATTGCAAATGATGCTGGATGGGGAAAATAACATTTAGACACAAAGCACACAGTGGTGTGTTTATTCCTGTGGATCTTGTAGCTCTCAGTTTCACTTTTCAAGCCCACCTTCACTGGTCACCTAACCAGGTTAGGCACAGGAAGTGGTTACAGCAAACATGGCTCTGTGCTCCCTTCTGGAAACACCATAGCTGACCAGCAGAAGAGCAAACTCCCACTTCTCCCACCAGGGAGCACTGCAGGAGGATTTGTTCTCACTTGTTCAGTAAGGCATGTAAGCACCTAGAGACAGGATTCACACAGCAAGCAGGCTGCCTACCAGGCAAGCAGGAAACATGCTGGAAGAGAGCTTTATGTGCGTAGCAGAATCACAGAATTGTCAGAGTTGGAAGGGACCTCTAGAGATCATCCAGTCCAACCCCCCCTCCTGAAGCAGGATCCTCTAGAGCACATTCCATCTGAGGAACCTGAAGATATACAAGTCCATGGCAGCTGATGAGATACATCCCAGAGTCCTGAAGGAACTGGCAGATGTAGTTGCCAACCACCGTCCATGTTATTTGAAAAATCCTGGCAGCCAGGTGAAGTCCCTGGTGACTGGAAGAAAGGACAAGTTATGCCCATATTTAGAAAGGGTAGAAAGGAGAACCCTGGGATTACTGACCTATCAGCCTCACCTCTGTGCCTGGGAAGATCACGGAACAGATCCTCCTAGGAGACATGCATGTGGAGGACAAGGAGGTGATCCAGGAGAGCCAGCACAGCTTTACCAGGGGCAAATCCTGCCTGATCAACCTAATGACTTTCTACAACAAAGTGACTACATCAGTCGACCAGGGAAAAGCAGAGAATGTCATCTATCTGGGCTTCTGCAAGGCCTTTGACACTGTCCCCCACAACATCCTTCTCACTAAATTGGAGAGATATGGGTTTGATGGGTGGACTGCTCAGTGGATAAGGAACTGGCTGGATGGTCGCGTCCAGAGGGTAGTGGTCAATGGCTCTAAGTCCAGATGGAAAACAGTGACAAGTGGTGTCCCTCAGGAGCCAGTGCTGGGACCAATGTTGTTTAATATATTCATTAATGATTTTGCCAGTGGCACTGAGAGCACCCTCAGCAAGTTTGCAGATGACACCAAGCTGGGAGGTGCAGTCAATATGCCAGAGGGATGGGATGCCATGCCGTGCTGGTGGCTTGCTGGAGGCTTTTCACTGGACACATACTGTGTGGTCACTGGACCTTGTTGCCTGAGGCTATTGCTGTGGTGTGTGGAGAACTTTGTCAACCCTCTTGTTGGAGCTCTGCTGGTTACCTGCTTGTTCCTTCCACTGTTGCCGAGAGCTGCTGGTCTCGCAGGGAGGCCACTGTCCCCTGTCGCTGGCTGCAGCATGGCTCTCCCATCCAGCACGTAATTCCAAACCTGTGCAGAGGGAAAAGCCACCTGTGCACTTATCAAACGACCAGTCATCTCTGGAAAAGAGTAAGGTGGCATGTTTCATACATCGCCCATAGGCAGTCTCATTGAACTTGCATGCACACTGCGACTCCCACAAGGGGAAAACTGCGTGGGGCTCCTCCTCCTGCCCCTCTGTCTTCAGCTTTATATAATGATTCAGATGTATACATTGAATCTAGTGTTAAGTGTGCTTAATTATTGATATTTCCCTTGACTAGTAATCTTTCTTGAACCTCCTTCCTCTAAATTGTGGCAAATCCCTTTAATAAACCGTTTAATTAGAGAATTTTAAGAATTGGTGTCTGTCTAAACCTGTGGGTGTAGTGAGGGGCATTCTCCCAGTTTTTCACTCTAAAATGTATGACTGTTCCTCTGCAAGAGGCAAATGCTATGCACAACCCCTTGGTTCCCCTCAATGAAATTCTTCCAATAAGGAAAGAGCCACGATACTTCCATCATGACCATCGGGTTCATGGCTCATTACAGGAGGCAATTTTCTAGCTCATCTGCTAAGTTTAGAAACAGAAACCTGAACATGGATCTCCAATTCCAGGAAGCATGACCAAGAGGGTCACTCCATATCAGGAATGAGTCTACCTGCAAGGACAGGGTCTGTGAGGGAGGGAAACCTGGAAAACAAGGTCAACTGTAAAGCAGGCAGAGTTGTAGAGAAAATGAGTCAGAACTTTGAGCTAGCAGCTTAAACACTAATAATAGCTAGATTAGCAAAGCCTGTAGATTGTGGCACAGGAACTGTAACAAGCATATTATGACAAGCTGAACTGCTAACTACAGAATCAGCTGAAACAGACCTAAGAGGACATGCTATTGTGTAAGAGGACCACTTAGCAACTGCTGGGGGGAGAAGAAAGGCTGTTCTCCACAACAGCAAATAAAACTAACAAAACAGCAGGAACCTTAACATTACTGATGTCTTTCATTAATTGAAATAAGTATATTTTTTTGGGGAAAAAAATAATCACATTTGGGGAAAAAAAGAAAAAGCACATAAAAATGAACAAAAGGGATACACAGAATAAACATAAAGCTTACATAGCAGTCTAACAGTAAGAATTAGACAAAACCAGATTCCAGTTAGAGAAAAACAGGTCCCAAGTAGTCAACAGCCCAGCCTCGAGACAGGTCTGTAAGACACCTGCAGGATAGATAAAAGGGATGGAAAGGAGCACTGCCCACAGCTTGACTATAAGCTTGAGTGCTGGGGGAAAAAAACACTGAGTAATTGGATTCACTGTATTAGCATACCATTATTGTATTAACGAGGCATTAGCATACTAAAATACCCACCCACAGGCTAGAGGGACCTCTGCTAACAAGCCCCTTCCTTACTCTTTGTGCATGCGTGTTTAAACTCCTTGAGCATTGCCACTTTAAATGGAAGCCAGGGATTAATTGACCAATCGTTTGTGCCAGGGACAAAATCACGTTAGAGATACAGTTCTTTCTCACGTTTTCAGATATAGAAGTAGCACTTGTATTTCAGGACTGAGCTAGCTTTGTGGAATACCACCCTGCCCCCTTTTCTGTGCAGAACTGGGTTATTAAAACAAGTATCTCTACTCTGTATGTAGACTGGCTTCTTGCAGACCAGGTGATAGAACCTGCTTTAGGGGCATTACTGGTGGTCCAAAATATTCAATGAGGGATGGGGGACTTAGACTGTAATGGTATAATGCCCAGGGCTTTCTTTCTTTGGGGTCCCTCTTCAGAGGCACCCAGCACAAGCTGTTGTGCTACTAATATAAAATACTTTCATCAAAGAGTCTGAGTCAAAGGTTGTGATGGGGGCTGGCATGTGTCATTCGCATAAGCAGGGGCAGCAGCCTCCCCAGGGAGTGCAGAGGGAGACGGTAACTGGACCTGTCAGCAGCCCAGCCACTGCAGTGATGACTCTAGTTCCAGGCCAGCCCACACAGTCCTGTCAATAAGCCAGCACCAGCAAGACCCGTGTTGCTGACCTGTACCCAAATCTCTTGCTTCAAACTCGGGAAGAAATCAATTCGAAATCAAACATACAATATCCAAACAGAAAGGAGTGACATGAAAAACCTCTCATTAAAGATCTCACAACACAGACCGAGGGTCAAACCTGCCGATTCACAGTTACAAAGCTACCGCGTCTGTATGTCCGCACACACTGCAATCAGATGCTAATAAATCACAAGTCCCCTCAGATGTCTGAGCTCCCAGACACAGCTCCCAGGCGCTAGCCCCAAGGTGCACAGCAAGCACCGATCCCCAGCTGGCAGAAAAAAAACCAAAAACCACTTCTCCAAAGCACTGCCAACACCCCGGCGTGCCGGCAGCTGCTGCGTGGCCCGCTCC